ACACTGCAAACACCTGCACATTTACTCCTTTGAGGGAGAAAACCCAGCTAATACCTTTCAGCCACCTTTCAGATTATGTCAGCTTCCACAATAGCTGCTCTCCAGAGCCAGCTCTTCGCCTCCCAAAATGTCTGCGGTCACAAAACGTGCTCTTTGCTGTCCCTCAGCATGTGCAGAGGGATAAACCAGCCCCCGGAGAGGTGACCATCCATTTTCTGTTGGGTGGAGAAACCAGCATGGACTGGCCCTAGACAAGTGATGATGATTCCCTGATGAGGAGAAGCTTAAAAAGGAGTGTGACAATGAAGCAGGTTTGAATGGAGAATCCTGACCAGCATCTGATTGTTCTGGCTCACATAGTGAGGGTTTCACTGTTCCCCAGGGTTTTCTCTAGGCGAGTGACCATGGATGACAAGGGATGTCTTCCTCAACATCAAGAGAAAAAGCACAAAAAAAGCTGCACTGATGTGAATCCCACCCTCCCCTTGCTCCTCCTTTTGCCTGGAGCAGACTGGAAGAGTTGCAAGAGAAGGAAGGAGGACTCGGAGGCCCAGGCTTGGATGCAGCACAGCTTTAATGAGTGTAAAGAGGAAAAGGAGGGGGCTGAGAGGGTGCCCCAGGGGCAGCCACTAAGATGCCGTGGAGCTCCTCCAGGGTGTCCATCTGCCAGCCCGGAAGAGGGAAGGAGGCCAACAGGTTGCCGCTAGGCTGGCGTTGGCAGGCGGTGACAGGAAAAAAGAAGAAGAGATAGAAGAGAGTGGAAGAGGCAACAAATGGACCAAAGATCTAAGTAGAAACCTCCAAAGCTCTATCTCCTTTCCAGCATCATGTTCTGAGGCCTTGGGAGGTTCTTACTCCAGCATGTTGCCAGCAGGTTTAGCAGGGCTGACATCTGTTGCCACAGTAGCGGCTGGTGATGCAGGAGAGGTCACAGCAGGGAGAGTTGATGGGGACTCCGTCACAGCTGAGGATGCTGCCAACAGCAGCAGAGGTGGAGGAGCCCACCAGGGTGTTCTGTGGGAAGGAGCTGAGGATGGGTCCGGGCAGGGTCACCACCACGGGGGAGGGCTGGATGACAACGGTGGAGTTCTGGCACTGCCTGACACAGGGCTCATTGCAGCTGTTGGCCAGCGGGGTCGGGCCGCAGGGCTGGCAGGGCAGGCAGGGCGGGCAGCAGGGCTGACACTTGTCGTAGCAGGACATGTCTCTGGGCCAGAGGTGCACCTGGGAGAGAGGGCAGGGGGAAGCAGAGCACGGGGACACATGAGGAGCACTACTGCACCCAACCACGACGGGAACCAACGCACCTCCTGGACCAGCCAACGCTGCCCACCTCAAAGCCCACGAGACACCTCCACTAAGTCCCAGCCCCTCTCCGCACAAGACCTTCTCTCCCCTTCCCTCTCCCAGGAGAAGCAGCTCCCAGCCCTGGGCTCGCACAGCCCATGTCAGCCGAGGCGTCCATCGGGGAAAGACCTGATCTCAAAGGAGGAGGAGAAGAGGCTTCACACTCACCTGATTCCCAAGGAGCAGGAGGCAAGAGAAGTGGATGAGAGAGCAGAGACTTGCGCTGCCTTTTATAGTCGTCCTGCACTGCCTCAGGCCCAGAGGCACCCTTTGCGGAAGTCCTAATTTTCTGACAAGCTCCTGTCAAATGCAAAACATCCCAGCTAATGGGATGGGCTGTGTCCTGCTTTCCTGCGCTGCCGCCTTTTCATTTCCTGGCTGAAGACACGTGCTTTCCCATTTGAAGGCTTCTCTAAGTGCCGGCATGAGAGGCCTGCCTGAGGATTTCCGGGGCAGAAACACGTCAGCGCCGGCAGAAGACTCAGCTCCAGTGCTGATGGTGCCCTGTGCAGAAAGGTGATGTCACCTGGGTCATTCTTGTGGGCGTGTTTGTGGCAAAGTTGTCTGGAAATGGGCAGCGCTCTCAGGTTGCCCATGGTCAGGATGCCCAAGGACTCCTCTGGGAGAGCACATGGCACGTCCTTCTCCCTTGCTCCCCCCATCTCCCTCTGATGGCCGCTCATTATTGCACACAGGTGGGCTTCTGCTGGCAGGCTTTGACGCTATAGACACATTAACGGTGCTCTCAGGACAGTTTTGGTGGGTTCCTTTCCCTCATCCCCTCTCTGTGCAGTCTCTGCAGGTGCTCAAGGGAATCCATGAGCACTTCTGGGGCCCGGTTCTTCCCTGAGGTTCTTGAGTCGTCTTCTGTTCCTTAATGAAGCCTGGATTGGTCCTTGGCTGTGGAAATTTTTATTCACGTAAGTGTGCGTCATGCTCTCTTGAAGGCACTCTACTGGGCTGACGTGGCAAGAGTTTGGTAGAAGGGGGAGGAAGGCTTCAGGGGTGGTCTCTGATAGGACTCCAGGTGATGTGTCCGTGTCTGCCAGAATCAGTTCCAGTTGGCTCCAAAACAGACTCACTGCTACCCAACGCTGAGCCCATTAGCAACGCTAATGATGCCTCCACGAAAACATATGTGAGAAAGGTCAAAACACTGCGGAGGAAGTGAGGAGTGCACTGAAAAACAAGTGTGAGAAGCAATCCTGCAAACAGCAAGACCAGAGAAGGAGGAAGGGCAGGAGGTGCTCCAGGCAATGATGAAGAGATTCCTGGACAGTCCCTGGGAAAGACCCTAGTGGAGCAGATATCCACACTGCAGCCCATGGAGGATCCCAGACCAGATCAAGGGCAGGTCCTGTGGCCTGTGCAGAGATCTTACTGTTGGGTCAGCCTAAGGAGCAGAAAAGGCCTTGACATGGCAGAAGTGCTGGTCAGCAACAGCTATAGCATCCCTGTGTTGTCAAAACTATTCCTAGGACAAATGCAAAACGTAGCACCACACCAGTTGCTGTGAAGAAACGTGTATCTCTCCCATGTAGTTCCTGGGAAAAACTCTGGTGGAGCAGATATCCACACTGCAGCCCATGAGGTTCCCCGACCAGACCAGGTTTGGGATCTGTGGCCTGTGCAGAGAACCAGCAGAAGCTGGCCCCTGGCAGAAGTGCCTCCCCTGGAGGACCCACACTGCAGCAGTCTTTCCCAGAAGGACTGCAGCCCGTGGACAGGGTCCTCACTGAAGCACATCTAGAAAGGCTGCAGCCTCTGGGAAGGTGTCACGCTGGAGCAGAGGAAAATAATGAGGAGGAAGGAGCGGCAGGAAGGACCTGTTGAGCACTGACAGCAACTGTCCCCGTTCCACATCCCACTGCGCTGCTTGGGGATGGAGGACGTAGAAGAGCCATGACTGGAAGATGAGTTTGTGAAATGGAAGTTTGAAGGATGGAAGTTGAGTTTGTGAAAAACGAGGAGGGGGTGGGGGATGGAGTGATGGTATTTTTAAGTTGCATTTGGCTTTGTCTCACCGTTATGCTGTACTTTTCTTTTGGCACTATGTTAAATGACTCTTCCCGAAGTGAAGACTGTTTTGCCTGTGAGGGGAACTGGTAAGCAATCCCTCCGTCTTTCTCTCAACTCAGGACCTTTTTTGCCTTCCTATCTGCTCCTGTCCTGTTGGGGAGGCAGAGGGAGGGAGCAAGCCGCTGAGTGGGTGTCAGGAAGGCAGGCAAGATGGTGTTGGTTCTGCAACAACTGTGGTAATCAGAAGTGCCAGGAGTGTTTGTCATCTCCATGCTTTTTTTTGGCGCTTTCTGTCTGTGCCATCAGTGGCAGTCTCTTTCTCCCACTCTTGTTCCCCTCAGAGGATGGTGGGCAATGATGTCAATTGGCCTTTGTGCTTGTGTTCCTGGGAAGTCGTGGCAGGTTTACAGCTTTTCTTCCCCAGACACCCATCCCTCGTTGCCCCTCTTTTGCAGCCCATCCCCTCTTTGTGTTTCACAGATAGGTCAGTGCAGAATCTCAGCTGTCTTTGTAGTCCCTAATTTCTGAGGTTCAAGCACTAAAGGTGGTTTCCCATGAGCCGTAGACTTTTCGGCCTTTTCATGTGGTTTTAAAGGAGAAAAAGGTGACTTAAGTGGTAGAGAGAGCAATGCATTTAATTTGATTTTATACTGACTTCACACCACCTGTGGACTAAAGGCAGCTGCTGCATAAGCAAAAAATTTCCTGCATGCTTCTAATGAACTGAAACATCCCAGGTAATGAAATGGCATGTGTTGCTGTTTCCCTCTATGATACATTTCCTCTTCCTGCTTTTATGATCCTTGTTACAGGAAGGTCTCCTGACATTGTTTTCATGTAAGAACTAATGGGCATAAAAGGAGCATTAAGACTCCACAATTTTAATTCTTTTTTAATATTTTCATGCTCCTTTTTTTTATTGTTCTTACATAGATGTTTTCAGAAAGAAATAGAAAGAGACCACACAGACCTTCTCTTCTAGAAGTATTGCATGAAAGAACTTCTGGTATGATGTGGCTTTGAGCCACAGATCTAATGAAAGATGTCCCTTCCCTTGGCAGAGAGGTTGGACAACTTTAAAGGTCTTCTCCAACCCAACCCATTCTATCATTCTATGAAAATGAGGTCTCCGTATGTAGGAATGGACAAAGTACTTGAAGCCACTCAAAGACAGCTAGTTCACTGCTAGAGGAGATTAAATGCTGAAGTACCAGGTGTGGGTAGATAATGTGAATTACGCAGAAAATATTTGGTAAGAAGCGCAAGCAGAATGAGAAGCAAGAAAGTATGTGTTGATTCCTTCTGAGTGAGAAACTGACAGTTAGTACAGGTCATTTGGTGATGCAATAAAAACTGATGGACTCAAACCCTTGTGAGATACTGTTGAAAGCAGTGTGAGCTGCCAGACTTGAGTATCAGGATTGATATGAGCCTGCAATATAAGTTTGTACAGGTACATGGATCAGCATCTTCTACATTATAGAAATTGAGATGGACAATGAGAAGAATGAGTGAACTGATAAATTGATGGATAGCTGGATACACAGATGAGTAAAGATGAGTTTCTGGCTTTGTAGGTCATGAACAGAAGGTCTCTATGCTACAGTCAGAAGCACGCATCCAGATGCTACACATTATAATGCTGCAATGAAATTTCTCACCCAGCAGCTCTTATACCTACATCTTCTGATGAAGGTATATCATCCCTTATCATGTTGCTGAGAAGGGGGAGTTGATGAATGCCTTCTTTAATTTAATGTTTACTGCTCAGACCAGCCCTCAGGAGCTACAGAACTTGGAAGCATCAGAGAAAGTCTGGACAAAGGAAGACTTCCCCTTGGTTCAGGAAGACCAAGAAAAGGAACAGCTGAGTAAACTGGATACCTGCAAGTCCATGGGTACTAATGGGATGCACCCACGAGTTCGGAGAGAGCTGGAAGAAGCCATTGCTGAGCCGCTCTCCATCATCTTTGAAAGGTCCTGGAGAACAGGCAACGTGCCCGAGGACTGGAGGAAAGCCAATGTCATCCCAGTCTTCAAGAAGGGCAAGAAGGAGAACCCAGGAAACTACAGGCCAGTCAGCCTCACCTCCATCCCTGAAAAGATGATGGAACTGCTCATTCTCGACATCATCTCAAAGCATATGAAGGAAAAGAAAGCTATCAGAAGTAGTCAACATAGATTGACCGAGAGGAAGTAATGTCTGACTAACCTGATAGCCTTCTCTGATGGCATCACTGGTTGGATAGATGAGGGGAGGGCAGTGGACGTTGTGTACCTGGACTTCAGCAAGGCTTTGAGGCAGTCTCCCACAGCATCCTCATAGGTAAGCTTAGGAAGTGTGGATTAGAAGAATGGACAGTGAGGTGGATTGAGAACTGGCTGAAAGACAGAGCTCAGAGGGTTGTGATTAGTGGCACAGAGTCTAGTTGGAGGTCTGTAAATAGGGGTCTTCCCCAGGGGTCAGTACTGGGTCTGAAGATGATCAGAGGGATGGAGCACCTCCCCTATGAGGACAGACTGAGCAAGCTGGGGTTGTTCAGCCTGGAGAACAGAAGGCTCTGGGGAAACCTCATAGCAGCCTACCAATATCTGAAGGAGAGCCGGAGAGGGACTCTTTGTCAGAAAGTGTAGTGACAGGACACGGGGTACTGGTTTTAAATTGAAAGAGGGGACATTCAGATTAAATATTATGAAGAAATTCTTTACTGTGAGGGTGGTGAAACACTGGAACATGTTGCCCAGGGAAGTTGTGGATGCCCCATCCCTGGAAGCGTTTAAGGACAGGTTGGATGGTGCTTTGAGCAACCTGCCCCAGTGGAGGTGTCCAGACCCATGGCAGTGGGGTTGGAACTAGATGATCTTTAATCATGCTATGATTCTATGAGAGGTATCAATTTCAAGACATGACTTATCAATGACCTGGATGAAGGGATGGAATGTACCCTCAGCAAGTTTCCTGATGATACAAAGCTGGGAGGTGTGGCTGACACACCAGAAGGCTGCGCCATCGTAGAACAAGACCTGGACAAGTTGGAGAGTTGGGCAGAGAGGAACCTGATGAAATTCAACAAGGGCAAGTGCAGGGTGCTGCCCCTGGGGAGAAATAACCCCATGCACTAGTGCGGCTTGGGGCTGACCTGCTGGAGAGCAGCTCTGAGGAGAAAGACCTGAGAGTCCTGGTGGACAATAGGATGACCATAAGCCAACAATGTCCTCTTGTGGCCAAGAAGGCCAATGGCATCCTGG